CATTTAAGACTCTGCTGTGGATAATATCTAGGACAGCTCAGAGCACATCTTTTTTGGTTATCTCAGGGATTTTGTTGGTTGCTGTTCAAACAGCTGTTGGAACTATGCCAGATTCTGTCTGATACTGATTCTTGTTGCCTCTGCTGTTTTGGCACGTTAGACAAAGGTCTCAGTGCACAGCTGTGCTCACTGGATGTTTCCTGTGGTGCTGAACTAATGTGCTGGAGTATGTGGCTACTTAAGTGACATAAGAAAAGCTTATATCACTTTAGATTCAGATCAGAAAGAAAAACCGCTTTTAATCTAGTGTTTTCCCAAAAATGGCTCTAAGTAGACTGAATGCGTTAGCGTGTGGCCTACACTAAATGATGAGTTAGCTCATTTTATCGCAATAGTGTCCAGAACTCTGTGCTTGAAGGCTACTGCTTTGACCCCTGCTCAAGTATTTGTTATCAAGATTCTGATATTTGAAAGAATGGAAATGTCAACGGAGTTAACTAAACTCAAAGTATTGCCTTACTGGCACTCTGTCAGGTGGGTCTAGAGAGACCTGAAGCAGTGAGTGGAGGAGTATTAAGACAGAAATCCCTCTCTCTAGTGATGGTCGTCAGAAAGAAGAAGTTGCCAGCCGTGCGCATTTATATACAGCAACACATGCAAATCTGTGCTGCATTGCCTGCACCTGACTGTTCCTGAGGTCACTGGGGTTTATAAACCTTATATCTACTTGATGAAGTTGATGTATCAGCCAACACAGGCCTGTTAGCAGGAAGTCCCTTCATATCATATCATCAGGATCTGTCTATAGCTGTCATGCAGATGAAGGGGGAATGGGAGAAGGGGAGAAATTTCTCCTATGCTTTAGAACCTTGTACAACTCAAATTTATGTTGCCATGAAAATGCTGGTTCTGCTAGATGTCATATTCCAATTTCTGTAACTTCGTAAATGTTTTCCATTCTCACTTGAACAGAGAGTTCAGAAATGCAGAAACGTTCCATCTTTGAGGAGCTCTTCTGATTGCTGGATGTCTAGGAGCTTTGTCACGATCAGTATGTTACACAGTTAGAGGAAGAGTGTTGTGCAAAGAACACTGTAAGCAATTCCCAAGCTAGCAGTAAGAGAGAGTGCCATTGGTTCCTGGAGATACTGTGCACACAAGGCCAGAAAAAAATCAGAGAGCACCAGAAGATTGCAGCTGGCAAAATCTGCTGTGCGTGTTTCCTTGTAGAGTGTGCAATGTCAGTCTTTACACATGTGCATGTAGACACTCACATGTGTACACACACACATACATGCAACTTATATTTAAATATTTGCATAACAAATCACTTGAACATGGAGTTCTGTGCTCCAAAAAGGTATGCAAAAATCTGAGGTGGTGTAGCAGAGGGCACAATTTAGAAGACTGGAAAACATAGTTTAAGATGGGGAAATTAAGGAGTTGAACGTATGCATTGAAGAGAGTCTTAAGAGGATATGTATGATTGTGTGGAGATTCTCTGAAGTGGAGAAGATTTTGGAAGGCAGAGGTCTCTTTAGCTACCAGAAGAAGTCCAGCACATTTCTTGTGCTGCTTACGTGCTTATGCACCTGCATTCAGAGATTCAAAGTCTCTTTTCAAATTGCATTTGTTTCAAGTTTGTTTATTGAAAAGCCTTTCCCCAATACCAGCATAATCAGTGTTGTTAATCCACTGAAACAGCTTTCTTCTCCTAGCTTTCAGATCCACTTAATGCAGCCATACAACTGATGCAGCAGCTAAAGGTAACCTTCTCTTCAGTGAAAACAACTGGTAGAAGAAATCACTGATGCTATCTGTACAGAGAGCTGTTAATTTATATTAGGCAAGAGGAGGTTTATTGGCAGAGATAGTATCTTTCACTGGAGTAATTGATATAGATGGAAGATATATGCAAGTATTAGGTGTAAAAGCTCTTCTTCCAGAATGAAACAAAAAAGGATCTTTGAAACTGTGTGCAAGAGGTTGCTCAGAGTTTTCATGTGTATCAGTTGGTCGTTTCAGGAGTAACAGAAGTTGGCACTTGTAGAATGGGAGAAACGCTAGTGGGAGAGTGAAGGCAGGAAGGTGCAGAGGTCTTGGAGAGAGCAAGACGCGTTTGATTTATAGCCTGCCTAGTATGAGTAGACTAGTGGAGTTTAACTACAATGTGCTACCAAACCAGTACCATCACTGAGTCTGGGGGGTTCTTCCCTCAGTGATATTATGAATTTTGCTCCTAGGCTCCTGTTGGAACGTGTTTTGTAGGTTTCCATTGATGATCAGGCTGGAGAGATGAGAAATGGAGTAGCTGTTTTTGTGGGAGCCATTCCCCAAGAGGCAGCAGTTCTGTCTGTGTAAGTTTGTTCTGATTTGCAGCGCTTCTCTTCCTGAAGCAGTCAGTTTAGTGGCTCAAGGAGAGAGTTCGACATGAATTCCAGCCTGTTTTTTGTTGGTGTTGATTTTCTGATTGGTGTTGTCACAGATGAAAATACTTTATGAAAAGTCTTCATATTATTTCTGGAAGGCTTCTTTAAGACAGAGTTAGCAAAAAAAAAAATCCTTTAAATATCCACACGTCAGTAGATTCTCCAGATGTTTTGGGGGCGGAAGTTAGGGCTTTGGAGAGGGCAGACTGGTGGACGACTTGATGGTGCATGGCAAGTATGACAGTGTCGAAGGGTTGAATGTTTCCCTTGTTTTCATGTTCAATAATGGAAATTATTTCAGAATTATCTTGTTGCTGCAGTAGTTCTTGTGAAGGTTGGATCCATTCACCTTTATGCTGGATGTCTGTCTTTAATTTGCTACCAATCTAGCATCCATTGTATCCTAGATAGGATTCAGCTTTCTTATAGTCTGTTGGAACCCAGATTGATTAATTTTGAGCTCATCTGTGCTGGAGCAAGTGAGGTATGTGTATTTCTTTATGGCCTCAGTAAGGACAGAATTAGATCTATTTAGGTCCCTTAATTCTCCATTTCCATACTGCATATTTGCATGCATAATTGGATTTCTTTTAGCCTTCGGATTCAAACATCCTGGTCTTTGTAATACTTTTTGTTTTTTTGAAGACAGTGGCAGTGTATTCATGACACGTCTACCTGTAGGTTACTGGTATGTATTTGCTGCATTAGTTTCTACTCAATGGAGCTTTATGTTTGGATCTTTAGAATAGAGATTTTTCTTTCCTATAGAAGCAGGTGACGTAACAAAAATGTTTGAAATGTGCTGATGATGGCTATACAGTAGCGGTGTTCAGAAAAATCTGTCACTGGCAAAAAAAATATCCTTTCAATCATCTCTCTTTGCTGGCAGCCTTTCACCATTTGCTCTCTCCCAAAAAAATCTTTCACTTTGAGTGCTTTACCAGTGGTATATACCCCTCACAGCTTATGGAGATGCCTGCCTCTCTCTCTCTCTCTCTCTCTCTCTTTCTCTCTCTCTCTCTCTCTCTCTCTCTCTCTCTCTCTCTTTTTCTTTTTTTCCTGGAAAAGATGAGGCATTTAAGACAGGCAACAATGCTTTGGAAGCCATGGGATACTGTTTTGTTAAACTGGTTTGAAATGTTTGCTTTAGTGTTTTTTTGAGGGGTTATAGCCAGCAAAAGTTTTGATGAAGATGCACATATGGTAACATACATTACACCAAACTTTGCATTTTTATAGACGCATAACTAACTGAAAGAGGTTTTAGCCAGCTTCATGACATTGATGTCATCCAAATGCTTCTGTTTTAAAAAAAAAAAATCCAAGTTGTTCACAAACAAGGACTTGAATGCCCCTTTCTAACAAACAGTCGTTCTCCTGTGATAACTCTATCCTCTGTCCCTTCTTTCACTGAACTCCAGTGATCTTCCTTGTATTTGTTCTGAAAGGCTTCCTTTTTGTAAGCCTGTGGTTTTCCATCCATCTATCCCTCTATACACTCTCTCTCTAACATTAACCCCTTTGTATAACTATCTAAGATCCCTTTTTAACATGACCAGTAGAAATCTGCTGTCTTTTGGCTTGAATAATTGTTGGAGGTTTTATTTTGTCTCCCCATTCTAAAGTGCATGCTATAGAGCTTTTAACAGATTCATTTTTCAGTACGTTTAGGAGAACAAGTCTCTTTTTCCTTGTTATTTGGGGGGAAACATATGACTTAAGATGAAAATAGTTGTTTATTTCCCTGCTATAAGAGTGAGTATAGCCATTAGCAGGGCCTTGCTCTGTAGGCCTGTTGTAAGGAAGGTTTTCAGGTTCTTTGCCTCGAAAACTTTTGCAGCCTACCCTTCCTAAGGTCTGCTTATGGCTTGAGGCTGATGGAGAGAGACAGAAAATGACTTCACGCCAGCGCTGTGATTCTGGACAGGCTTTGTATCTATTGTTGAAATCCCTGGTGGAGAACAGCAGCAGCTCCGTGTGCAAGGCCCTTTAAAAAACCCTTGCAGTGCATGAAATAATAATTGTTTGGCATCCTCTTTTTTCTAAGTCTTGGGGATATGAAAGCGCCAGAACCAACTGTGAAGAGATTTGAGTCTTTTGGGGCTGTATGGGATGTTCCTAGTAGTGGTCTAGAAAGGAAATCAAAGTTTAAAATTTGTGCTAAATCAGGCTGGCATTTTGTGTTTTTTTTTTTTTTAAAGGTTAAAAATGAAAAGTACAGTATATAAATGTGGTTCCATAAATGTACCGTAACATGCGAACACACTACAGCAGCCAGTGGTAGCTAGAGGTCTAAAATGCCTTAGCTCTTTCTCTCCATCTCGTCAGTCTGAGCTAGAAATGTGTCCCATGAATTCACCTACTTTTGACTCTTCTCAATCATTATCTTTCCTTTGCAGGTGTTTAACCCTTAATAGTTCATTCTAATTTTTAATTTTTTTTTTTTTTTGTATTTTGTGTACTTGCCTGGTTTATTTTCTTTTGTTGTGTTTTTGTTTTGTGTTTATGGCCATGTTCCCATTTCAGAGACCAATGTCCTCTAACTGATGAGCAATTGGTTTCGGGGTAAGAGCAAACATTCTAAACAATCACTTCTGTCTAGAATGGCTTTCTTCTCTCACCCTCCTTTTAATTGTGCTTTGTTTCTGGTTTTGTTTTACACTGAATGATGAGATAATTATATGCTAAATCACAATGTCTGTAGGGAATGTGTTGCTAGGATAATTACAAAGGTCCTACTAACATTTCTGTGCTTTCTGTAGGGTCTCCAGAATGGATGTGGTACTGTCCCTTCTGTGAGTTGAGAAAACCAAATACAGCCTTGGCATTGCAATTATTCCAGCAAAAAGCCCCAAACCAAATCGCTTTCTGACAAGCAATGACTTAAAAGTATAGATCAGTGTGTAACCTGTTTAATCCCATTGTAATTATGGAGAGCTCTTCCAATACTTGGTTTTGAGCAGCTGCTCTGGTTGCTTGTTCTTGGTGCTTCACTAAGCTCAACTGGATGACCTGCCTTCCTCCCTCTGTTGAATGTGTGGAGGGAGGAGCGTTCATCTCTACCTAGAGCCCCAAAAGTCTTAATTTGCAGCTTTTGTCCCTGTATAATATACAAAGAAGATCACCTAGTTACTCAGCTTCCATCATAAATTACTTCAAAGAGGAATTCTTCATAAATACCTTGCTTTTAATTCCTGTGGCATCGTAAAAGTTATTATACCAGTTCTTATGAAAAGAAAAAGAGTGTGTGTCTGAGATGTCCCCCTTCCTCTTCCATGCTCCAAAGCTAAAGCAATTATTGTTTCATCTGTGTCAGTCCCCGAGGAGATGGTGGTGACGGCAGTTAACCTATGCTAGCGCAGTTTGTGTCATACTGCTGGCTTATCTGCTGTTGCTACCATGTTGAACTCGTGATGGCAGCGGTAGGATGTTTTGGGCAAACCAGAGCTTTTGTTTTTTCTATTTAGTTTTGGCCTGGTGAATTCCTTATTACAGAAAAGGTTTGCTTCCCCCGGAAGTCACAGACCTCAGATTAATCTCATGAAATAAGAAGGGACTGTTACTGCCCGACTGTGAAACCTAATCAGCTTCTTACAAGCTTTTGGGTTGTGATGCTCGGTGACTTTAGGTAGTCTTAAAACACCACAGAGATTGGAAAACCAGTGGTAAAATATCTAAAGTGAAAAAGTTAAACTGTCACCCTGAAATGATGGGAATAACAAATTTCCTATTCCTCCATCACCTGTCATCCTGAGACCTAGGAAATGTACAAATTCTGTAGAGTGTGGTGAAGATCAATAATCTAGATTGTCAGACCAAGGGGAATGAGGCTGGAATCCAGATCGCTTTCTGGGGAGCCTGCTATGATACCAGCTGTCTTTGGTATCAGAGGGTTATAGATCCTGAGCATGTCCTCTGGCTGCATTGTGATACTCTCCCAGAAACAGGTCTCCCAGGTAGTGAGAAGATACTTAGGACTTTACAGAATTGACCTTTTAATCTCCTCCTCCCCACAGAGCCAGACATAAGGTAATGCAGACTGTGGACTGTCAGTACAATGAGCTCTCCTGGGGAACTGCTCCCTGATTTACTGTTATGCGCGGCACTACATTTATATGTTAAAAGATCTGCTGGTGTAGTCCCTTGTAAAAGTCAAATCTCAACAGTGGTAAAAGTCATCATAATGGCGTTCGGATGTCCAGCACCCAACACATCCCTTGCCAAGGCTGGGGAAGGGAACAGTAACTCGTTTCTCACCAGCAAGCAGCCACTTTCCAGTTTAGCCTTCTCCTCTCTCCTCTCCCCAGACCCTATGCTCATTTTTGAGCTGTTGCTACTACAGTCTTCCCAGCTCCATGATGAGCCTATTAACTAACACAATTGAACAGGGCAAAAAGAGGGGGAAAAGTTCACTGCTGAATGTGATCTCCAGGGAACGTCCGTCCAGCCTGAGGAAGCTTTAGCTTTCCCTCATGAACACCGTGTGCTGTAGAGCCCAATGCGTTGCAGCGTCCAAGGAGCGTGGGCTCAGCATCCCTGGGAGCCTCTGGCTAATCTCCTCATCTCTCTGCTTGTCCTCGGCTGCATTTGGCAGCCTGTTGGGAGCCGAGCGACCAGGGGTTTGGAAATTAGTACACAGCTGCTCCTTCCGTAAGCTAAAAGTAAACAGCACACTACGGTCAGGATGGCCAAACACCAGAGCCTTTGGTCTAATAAAAGTAGCTCCTGGGTCAAATGCAGATGGGTACACACAAAAGGTCTAGCTGTGTGTTTGTCTTAATTTTTGTAGTACTCTAACTCACTCGGAGTAAAGTAGAAATAGAGTACATAAATTCCTTCCCTGGGCATCAAGGGCTCGCTTGTGGCCAGGAGATAAAGGGAGCACAGAGCACACCCATGGTCTGCCCTTTTCTCCGAGTGATACTGTGTTATCTGGGGTACCTGCATTGTGGAGGGGGATGGTCTGACAGGGACACACATCCAGGGGTGTAAAGAAAGGAAACAAAATAAACATTTCCATTGTTAACAAAACTGGTCTCATCAGAAGCTCGCTTGCAATTCGTTTGGTTAGATGGGAATATCTTAGAGAAAAGGAAGAACATCGCTAATATCATAAACATTGCACTGTTCCTGTCCTAGAACAACAAGAAGTTCCTTGCAGTAGCTAACTGAAGTCTTCTTTCTTGTAGATTTGAACTCCACTGTCTCAGGAGATACCCTGAGTTTAAAAAAAAAAAAAAAAAAAAAAAGAACTTATAAAGACCAGGCCAATGTTGTAAGGCCACCAGCCGTCTGTGCAACGGAAAGTGGGTTGAAGAATTCCTTCCCTGTTGCACTGTTACCCATTTTTGCATTGGTAACTACACTTTACTGGACAGACTCCTTGTAGATATTTGCCCTCCTATTTGTAACTGCATGGACTGCATTCTTCCCACCACAAATCCGGAGCGATCCAGCAACTACTGCAACAGTGGCTTGCGCTGAGAAGGGCCTGCTCTGTCATGAATTTATCTCAGTTCAATTTACCGAATGAGACAGTCCAGCTGGGACCATGCAGCTTTCAGGAGGGTGCCAGTGGTCTTTTGGGCACAGATTGAGATCTGTTAAGTGAGTGACTTCAAATCTCACTGATTAGGTTTGGAAAAGGAGGGACAAGTGTTGAACGTATTTTTCTTTTAAGCGAGTCAGCTCTTTCTTGCCTTCCCCTCTGCCGTACTGGGTGGCTTTAAGATCTTCGTTGTGCTTGAGTGACAGGCTGTTTTGAAATCTAGTTGCTTAGTAAGTTCATTAACCTGTGGCTAAATCCAGACAATGGCTAACTCGAGCTGTTTTTATATTTGTAAAGCAAACTGCATCTAATCTTTCTTGTGTATTTTGCCGAGCATGTAATTAAATAAGCATGACCCTGCAGTCTTTGTCTTGAATGCTTCCTGTTTTATAATTCTGATGATTTGAGAGATGTAATTAAGGGGTTCTTAATTTTCATAGTCAATGGTATTCCAGGTGCAACAATTTAAATACATAATTTACAGTACTTTAAAAACTCTTACAAGTTAAATGTCTGTATTTGGAGGAATATTTTTAGGGTATGCATTTTGATAAGTTTAATAGCTTCCATTTCTACTCTTCAAGGTTTTCAGATGTCATCCTGGCAACAATTTTGGCTACCAAATCAGATATGTGTGGCAAAAAATTTGAGCTGAAGATTGATAATGTGCGCTTCGTTGGCCATCCTACGTTGCTTCAACATGCCCTTGGGCAGGTATGGTAAGAGGTCTGCTCCTTGGGCCTGCCTTCTTTTCAAACTACTTGAGTTAGGTAGGAAACTTGGAATTCAGAACGGGTATCTTTACTTTTGATCCTATTTTTACTTCCTGGTGTTCAAAGCTGTCTTTTACTTATTTCCAGGTACCTACAGTGAGTGGTAACCTGAGGGAGCTGTGTCAGTGATTCAAAGAAACCCCTTTGTCTGGTTTCTGTAGAAAAGGAGTGTGGGAAAAGGGAAACGAGACTAAGCAGTCCAGATCAAGAAGCTATTTCTCACCTTGTTAGTTATTGCAAGTTAGCTTTGTGGCAGCTTTAATCAGTACACCAGTAAAAAAAGCGAATGCTAGAAATCACTTCAGCCTTGTCTAGCTTTTAACTCTTACTTGTGCTGAAGATGATTCACAAGGCTCAATTGGAATGGGTAGGATATTGAAAGAGGTGTAAAGTCTTCTTGTGGACAAAGCCAGGTTGCTGTTTGCACTGAGACCTTCCTTTGTGGCTTTTGCTTTTAGCTGCTTGGAGTGAAACCAGTTGCCACATAAGCCACAGAAAAGGCTCTGCTTAAATCTGGGGAAAGATTTACACACTTACATGCAAAACGTTCCTTGTCCCATTCCCTCTTCCTCATAATAAAGGTTAAAATGAAGTGGGCTTTGGTAATTCCAGAGGTCATCACTAATCTCTATTACTGACCTACTTTGGTCTTATTTTACATCAGATTTACCAAGTCATTTGTTTTTCAAAAAAAAAAAAAAATCTGTTGCCATTTCTGTCATCCGTTCTATCTGTACTTAGAGGCACTTAATGTTTTAAGGACTGGATTGATTTAGGACTGCCTTGATCCAGGTAAGAAGCTAGCATCAACCATCAGAAGGTGCTGATATTCCAGTTTTGAAACTGCTTATGAGTCTACAAGAAATATATCAGAGGATCACTGAGACTCAGTCCTGAAATGTTTAAGCTGTTCTTGAGAATAGAATTTAAATGCCCCCAAGCTGTGCAAGTACTTCAGGAAGTTTGATCTTCTGTGCTCAGAGCATCAGGTACTTACCCTAGGTCACCAAATGGTGCTGGTGGGAGAGAAGTGCTTAGTCAGGAGTAGGGAAACCTTGGCAGTGTTTTCCAAGATAGTTCCTAATTTGCTGTTCGTGGTGCTAGTCCTGAGACTTACAGCAAATAATATGATGGCAAAGGAGAGACAAGAAAGTGTTTCTTGTCTTTGTTTTCAAAGAAACTGTTACAGCCCATCTCAGTAACCTTAGGAATTAGTACATGCGACTGTTACCTGGAGACTTTCTCAGATGATGGAGGAAAGGACTAAGGAAGGGAGGGGAGATGTGGCAGGATGCTCTGAGCCCAGCTCAGCGGTGTCAGGGAGCAGCAAGAGCAGGGCTGCTGGCTGAGGGCAGGCAAGGCAAGAGCCGAGGGCAGCCCCAGTGCAGGCAGTGTTCTCCCAGATGTGGTGCAGTCCCATAGGGTCTGACCACAGGATCAGATAGAGCCAGCTGCTGGTAACGGGGTCCAAGGACAGCCCCAGACAAGGCAAGTGATGAACCAGGTCCAGGGTCCATCTGGGGACCCCTGCCAGGAGCAAAAGGAGAGGGGGCCAGAGAAGGGGCTGAAAACAAGGCTACAACATGAGTCCAAAGTCCATGCAGGAGTCAGATGCAAAGACAGGACTGGAGGCAAGCTACAACATGGATACGAGGAGGTCCATCCAGGGGACAAGCTACCTACAGCATAGGTCCGAGGTCCATCCAGGAGAGAGGTCTGGAGACCAGCACCCCTATGGCATAGCTTAGGAAGGAACTGAAGGCCCAGAGCTGAGCTTAATTGAGGCTCCTGGGTCATGGGCAGGGGTCTGGGTGGCGGCCCAGGTTCAGCTGGTCAGAGCCATTAAAGCCCATTGGTGTCCTCAGAGCCCTGACGGCAGTGCTCTGTTCCCTCATATTATCAGATTTCTTTATTTTGCCAAGTCATGTCCACAAGACCCAATTTCCTAAGTGTACTGGTAGGTAATAGTGAGTATAAATTAAGTTGAAAAGGTATATTTGCATTTGTCCACGACAAATTCTCTCCACTTTCTAGTCACTTCTATTCTAATTACATGAAATACATTTTCATTTTTGATTTTTTTCTAAATAAAATTGCATCTGGGTAAATAATCAAGCTTATATAATGCTGTAAACACCTCCTTGTTGCTTCTCGTAGGATCCTTTTCTTGGGTGTGTCTGCTCACTCCAGTAGGCATGCCAGAACGTTCTGCTGTCCAGAATCTTCTAGAAATGGCAGCCATCTCTGCTAGTTCATTCAAGTGTAAACCTGGGATCCTACAGCACTTAGGAGGAAGCTAAATTATTTCCTTCCTGTCCCTTTGAGCACAAATACTGACCGAAATAACCTGACAGTCTCTGGCTGGGTTTTCTTTGGAGTCCAAACTGCCGTAAGTTAATCCACACCACAGCAGCTTAGCAAATTTGTGCTGGGTGAGATTCAGGCATTACAAGAGCACCAATATTTAATCCTGACCCCCCCTACCCCCCCATTTTGTTTAGTGATATTTTGAATTCTTCACATTTCTTCAGTTTTCCAATTTACTCTTTTTTTTTTTCTTTTTCTGGAGAAGCAGTGATATGAAATCTGGCCTAGATCCCAGCTGATGTAGTTTCTTTGACTTTGAGGAAGAACAGGGTCGCCCCCTAATCTCAGAAAGGCTTTGGAGTCTGCATTAGGTTCGTATGCGCACACGGTATAGGTTAGGTGGGTGCTTGATCTGGCAGGTTATAGCTGGTTTCAGCCCAGAGTGGACTGGGCGCCCAGCAGAGAGCTTTGGGGCAGGCAGGGGTGTCCTTTGGATTTTGTGCTCCATCTTGTGGTGACGCCTGGTCGATTCAGAGTTGCTAGTCCCAGATGTGCAAGTCCAACTTGTTCCTCTTAGCTTCCACTCTTCCTCCCCACGAGAAAGTCTGTGTGTGCATGTTAACGATTGTAATGCTAAGAAGCTGTTACAGAAAGAGTATTTTCTTCTGCAGGAGGGAAAAAAAAGAGCTTTTAGTTTAGTACTATGTGAGCCTGTGGGCTTGAATATAGGCAGTTCTAGAGCATAGTTCTGATAAAAGCAATAGTTAGAATCATGAGGTAGTCTGAATGGAGATTTTAGGGAAGGGAAGAACAGGTATGGCCTGGAGTGAGACATCTGTAGACTTCTCTTTGAATTTTCATATGCACGTCGTTAAAAGTATATACCAATTATGCTAAAGAAAATTGAAATCCAGGACCCCTAATGGTGCTAAAATGCAATAGTAAGGAAACCTAGAAAGACTGTTCGCTTGACTGATGTTCATTTTCATGGACCTGGCCAAAATGCTTTGGTCCAAGTCTCCCCAGCTTCTCAGAAAAGGCAGTGTTGTAGAATAACTGTGACACTTTTATAAGAAAATAATCATGCAGCCTTATCTTTTATGAGTCAAATTTTGATGGTATAATTTGATTTCTCTGCTCTCTTCTCTTAGCAAAGTGTTATTTGACTGGGTTAGGCTTTTCTTTCTTTCCCTATTACTGGTTCCAAAGGACACTAGCCTATGGGAATTTAAAAAACAATATTTTTCAGGTATCCAAAACTGATCCCTCACCGAAGAGAGAGATGCCCACTATGATTCTCTTCAACGTCGTGTTTGCCCTACGGGTAAGGCCCGTCTTTGTGTTGTCTGACAATGGGATGTGCTTCAGGTTCGTCAAGAGATTTTTCCATTATTGGGGATACTCCAATCCCACGCTCTCCTGAATAATAGAGAATTGAGTATATGGACATAGTCGGGTATTCATTTAACTTAGTCCAACAATAAAAATGATATAGTTACTCGAAAGCGGCTGTAACACTGCTTGAGAAAGGCCCAGCTTCTTCATCTTTTTCCTTACAAATGGAAAGTAACACAGGTGTGTAGGTACATATTGGTCTACAGACAAGAGAGATGTTTCTTACATTTTAAAGAATAATGTACAATAGGAAAAGTGTTCTCTTAATTTAAAAAATAATTTCAGATGCCACTTCTGCAGGCAGGAGAAGCAACTGTTGCTAAGGTACCTTTCTCCGGTGATGTCTGAACCCTTCTCAGCATTAAAGTGCTCCGAATGACACATAATTAAAAGTCCATATATGTCTTGACAAAGTGATCAAGGGAGAGAAGTGAAGAACTTGCTGATAGCCTTGGAGCTGGAACTTTCCTTTCTGTTTCAGGGCAGAGAGTTTGCCTTCATGGGGCATAGATTACGTTTCTGTGTAATGCAGCCCTTTATGTGCTTAATTTGCTTGAACATTTTAAACCAGAATGGAAGGACAGAGTTTAGGTTTGTGTTTTAAGGGGAACGAGACTTGGGGGCTTTTCCCCCTTTTTTCCTCTCCTCATAGCTTTTTGAGCAGGGCTGTGCTCCTGAGCTCAAGGGCTTGCAGTTTGATTTAAAATTAGTCTGTGGTTGAAGATGTTCTCGATTTGATGTCTGAAGAGTTTTCTTGGCTGTCCTTGTGTTTTTGGACAAAAGCTGTCCCGTTTTACAACCATGCAGCTCTTCTTGAAATGATATGTTTGAACAGCACTGTTCTGAGCCCTTACTCATGCTGCATGATATTGAGACAAGTGCCTTTGCTCCGTGCAGCTAGGCTTTTTCTATAATTAAATGGAACACATTTGAAAGCTGCCTCTTTTTAGCTGTGAGATCATTGTAAAAGGAGGAGAGCGCCAGGAAGCAGCTGGCTGTAGCATTTAAATGAGAAGAAAGTACATGTGAGGGATTCCTAGGTTTTCCTGTTCAGCAGAGACTTGGGGCAAGTAGGTAGTTTTGGTTTGGAATTTCACTTCAAGACTGCTCTATTGATTAGATGTTGATATCTGTGTTTAGTGATCCTGGCTCAGCTAATTTGACGGTCTAAACCCCTAGAAATTTCGTTACGTGTGAGCAATATTTGATTTCTGAGCTCTGGCTTTCTTTTCCTAGCCCGTATGTTGCATCTGTGGATCCCTTAATAATTTATTTATTTTGTGGTGTGCAAGCATGTGAGGAAACATTTTAGAAATGACAGAGGGAGTTAGAATAGCTGGTTTTGTGGAGGTGGTTGATTTTTACTTGACTGGGTTTGGATTTAATGACGTGACTTTCTTGATTAATACAAAAGCAGAGAAAAGCCTCGAGCTCTCTGGTTGGAAGGTGGCGCTTTTTGCCTTTTAGCATTGGTACTTACTGCTGGCTTTCAGTAGTGACTGAAGTGCACAGGGCTGTGGTCCGGGTGGCTTTCCTCAGTTGAGAGCAAGGTTTCACAGGATAGAGCCATGCCAGCAGTCAGTCTGAATCAAGGGAGAAATTGTTCACCCTCTGAGACCTGCAGGTGTTCCAGTGTTGTTGTACTTTGGGAGCTTCTTAGGTCAGGAAATGCCAAATTTGCAATTGCAAGAGTTGATCTTAAATTTCACACATTAAAATACCTTAGCTTCAGGAGCTTTGATGTTCTAGTGTCTTAGTAAAGCACCAGGCTTTGGTTGTAGGTAAGTATGCGTAGACATGTGTGCAAACACCTACGTTCATACACCTTGAGTCATGTGGAAGCAGAAGTGTTGACAGCAGCGTTCCTTCATTCTCAGTATTGTGAGAACTTGGTGAAGGATAATGAAGACTTCATCTGGCCCACATGTCTCTAGACATGAATTTCTAGTGGTTCTCCGCAGACAACTTGCTTTTTGGAATTTTGGCACTGTGATACTTGATGTAGTTGTTCGTTTAAAGCAGCGCACTAAGTCATATTTGCCAAATGAGACCCTCTTAATTCATAGAGATCTGCAAAGTTTCTGGAAAGTACTGTGCCTAAAGCGAGCAGAAATGCTTCCTAGTGTAGCGTAGTGCGCTGCAAAGTGTGGGTGGAGGTATTCTCAGATAAAGACCATCTGCAGTGGGCAGACAGAGCAGGCAAGGTCCCAAATGCTATAATCAGCACTGGTCCTGCTGTGTTTCAGCTTCGGTGTTACTAACGTGTCGTGACTCAGCAGAAACAGCGGCGTTCAGAAATGCTGACTCACGGTTTGCTGGTTTCCACGCCAGGTTATCGGTTGCCTGAACCGTAAATTCCTTTAAATGTCTTAACAAACATGAAGCAGCTGCTTGCTGTGCGCTCTCTGACTAGGAGTCGTGGAGTCCCCCCTTATCAGCGCTTCAGGCCCGATAGAGTTTTCTAGCACTTTCGTTCTATGACTTACACAAATGCAGTGTTTACAGTAAGGCAGGCTCGTGAAGTGTTTGGGAACGTAAATCCCAATTCATTCTGATTTTTGGATCAAAATGTTGGTCATGGGCTGTTAATTCTTACCTGATTAGCATTTCTCCTGTCAGCAAGTACGACAAACATCAGTATCACAACATGGAAAGATGGAGCTATGGTCAAGGCACTACAGTCCTTATAATCCCAGTGAATTTAATATTTGTGTTGTCATGTTCTTCCTTTTCAAGCAACTTGAAGCTTTCCTTTCTCGCTACGTGAAATTGAAATCTGTGATCTCTCTGCTAGCAAAGGGCCCAGTAACAACTGGGAAAAATAAAGCAAATAAATTATTCTACACCAGGTGCTATGTTCGTTCAATGCACGTGGACTACCATAGGAATCCCTGAGTCTCGTCTTCCTTACTTTTGGACATCTCTGAGCTTCTGCTTTACTCCTGTGTTAGAGAAATCCCCTTTCTTTTGCCAGTAGCCAAAGATGCTGACTTTTGGTATCTACTGAAGATAATTAACTGGGTTACCTATTCATTGCTCTAGTTCCTTATATGTGATTGTGGCTGAATGACTGACTAGTTCCCATTCTGGGTTGCCTGTAGGCCAACGCAGATCCATCAGTGATAAACTGCTTGCACAATCTCTCCCGTCGGATTGCCATAGTCTTACAGCACGAGGAGCGCCGTTGCCAATACCTGACCAGGGAGGCCAAGCTCATCTTAGCCATTCAGGATGAAGTGTCTGCCATGCAAGAAAGTGAGTCTCCAGCTTAGCTATGTGTAGGAACACGCAAGTGTTTGTCCAGGAATGCTTTTTCAGAAAAGTGACTGAGCCTTGTTATGGTTTCCCTGTGATCAGCATAAATGAGTTCTGGTGCTCTTCAGCGTTTTGACTGCTTTTGGCTGCATTTTGCCTCATCCAAAATCACTATTCCTATGCAGACGTGTCAGCTTTTCAAGTGAAGTAGATTGGTTACTTTTCTTCCTAACGCGGTTCAGACTGATCACTGGAAAGTGTATACTAAAACATTATGTTTGGATGTGCTTTCCAGGCTGAGATGGAAGAATTCATATGTAAACTGCTTTACCCCACCTTGAGCAAGTTTCCCAAGCTCTAATGCTGTGTGCAGAGTCACCAGAGACTTCTCATGAGGGAATTTCACTCTTTTATGTGTTTTTTCTATGTCTAACAGATAGTTACCCAGCGTTTTTATAGAGTGTACTTCAAAGCAACTTCCTATAATAATATGCAGTTTTAAAGGTGAAGAGTATCTGACAATGATGCCTTGTCTTGGTCTGTGTTGAAAATCAAGACGAACACGTGTATAAAAACAAGCAAAACTACTTAAAAAGTCATGTGTCAAATTCACAGATGCATCTGTTTAACTGAGTTGAGGTTCAGAAGTTGCCAGTAATTCACTATTGTTATCTTAAGTTCAATTATTGTAAAAGCTCTGAAAAATAATTGTAGATTAAAAAGATACGGAACCTGTCCCTGACTGAACTTGTCCTTGAAATTGTTATAGTAGCACAGAACTGAGATACTGGCTGATACCTGGAGGGGGAAGGGGAAATTCTCTTTGCTTTGAAGTCAGTTGTTTGCTTTCTTATTTTAAAACTTTCCATAGCCACAGAAGGGCCACAGTCCCCTTTTCATCACATCCTGCCCAAGTGCAAACTGGCCAGAGATCTCAAGGAGACTTATGACAGGTAAGTGGCATTTCCTTCATACCATGTTGCTTCTCACTGAAACCTCTTGGTGTTGTTACTTAGGATGCTACCATTGCTTCATGCTGATGAGTTACTGGGATTTGGGTTTAAGCCAGATGGAGCAATATGAAGGCTAGCTGTCAGGTGTAATATGTGCAGTGTCTGCATCCTCACTGTGATCATGGTCGTTGGGTATGTTATGTTTCTGAAGAGTTGGTGGATGTCTGTCACAGCTTTAAGAGTTATTATTCTCTTTCCTGGCTTGCAGGCACATAATGACAAGTGAATTGTGGAACTGCAAAGTGTCATGACATGACCTCTAAACTGCATGTAAAAGACAAATGCTGTGTCTAGCATTCATGGTAATGTCAGATACTGCTCTGGCTTAATTTGGTGCATGTCTGGACAGTGAGTTTGGATTAGGTGGTGAGACTTTCAGCAGAATGGAAAGTATAACATGCCTGGCGTAAGGGTTCTGGCAAGGATTCCAAAGGAGTGTAGAGTTAGTGTTGAATTTCAGCGGGATTTGGACACTCACCTCTTCCAGCTTGCTTCTGCTCCAGCAGCATGTCAGTGCTAACTCCTTATGCGGAGCAGACGCCTTCATTCAGGACGTGTTTGGTTAAAGAACTTGACAAAGTCTCAACAAGCACAGAAGTGTTTGGTGGGGAAGAAGATGCCCCTTGATTAGGGTTTTAGTCTGGGCTTGGGAGAACTACACCTGAGGTCCCTGACTGAGCTGTAGCATACCTTGTAAGATCTTAGCCAAACCCTTTAGCCTCCCTCTACTGCATTTCTCTTGTTCCAAGGGAATAATCACAATACCTTGGTAAGGTAAGGTACTGAGAAGCTAAATACTTCAGTGTTGGCAAGAACATTAGAAAACTTCTGATAAGCTGTTTGTTATGTTCTGGGGTTGTGAAGTTCAGCCTGTTCAGAAGGCATGCTGAGTGTTGTTTGACACAACGCTTATAAAACCTATACTAAATTTTCAAATAAGGCACTTTTTCTATAGCCTGTAATTCAAATACCAAACTTTTCATCTGCTTCTTTTTCCCTGTTCCTCCAGGGTTATGCACTTCTGACTGGGCAAACCCTGATCTTGTTTGCAAACTTTTTAGTGATACAGTGACATCTTGTGGCGTATACCTGTGACCAGTGGAACATGCAGCCCGAGCTCATGGGCTGTACTAACACCACCCTTCAGTGAAATGAGGAAGAGCTGACTGACCCATCAGTGTTGTCCCTCAGCCTTACAATAAGGGGGAGTCTCCCTCATTTAGGTCTTGTGGGTAGAGGAGAGATGATACATGTCATATTTTGACTGTGTTTTGCATGGCATTGTCATGAGCAAATGTAAGAAATAAGCAGTTGGTAAAAGGTAACTGTGCATGTGGTTGGAAAGCTGTGTTTGAGGAAAAGCTGAAAGTATCGTTGGGTGGATAGGCAAAAAGGGGATGTTCTGCAGTATTTTTCCGTTAGTGCTTCGTGTGAGAAAATAGGAAATACACTTATTGTATCTGCAGTCAGATCAGGTGAGGGGGGCTGTGGCACCTGGCAGGGCAGGGGTAGAATTAAAATAATTTTTGGTCAAGTAGAAGCAATGGTCTAGAAATAGGATTTCTTCTCTGCAGCTCCAAGATGAAGAATTTCTGAGCGGCATCAGCTCTGGAGCAAAGTCTGTGTGGGCTTTCCTGAATCACAAAATGAGAGTTAGTCACAATGATATGGGGTTGCAGAAAAAGCAAATAGATAAGAGGCTTTCTAAGGCCTCTTTCTAGATAAAGGCTTTCTAAGATGGGAAGCAGCCAATCTGCTCAGCGCTGTGAAGCCCCAGCTGTAATGAATACTCTGTCCAGTTCTGGCACCACGTTTCAAGAAAGAGATGAACCACCCAGAGAGCGTGGAGGAGTGAGAATGACCTAAGAGGAAAGATAGAAAGATTTGGTCTGTTACTTGTAGACCAGAAAAGACTGATGGGAACTATATATCTTCAAATACGTGCCGGGACAATGTACTATTTAAATTGGGTAGGAATTTCTGGCATAGCCTTTGGCATAGGGGAACAGCATAGTGAGGCAGAGAGGGCACTCTGAATTGCAGATGGGAGCCCAGCTCTGCACCTGAGATTCGCCCAAGCCAGCGTTTTCCAGGGTCTGCTGATTTTTGCAATTGCAGTTGAAAGCCTCTTGAATTACCAACAGTTGATCCAGAAGTGCTGTCAAGCCCTTGGTTTCCTGTAGATGGTGCTGAGGTACTTCAGGCAAGACCCACTATGTCCCTTAGCAAGTCGGTTAGTACAAATACACATGCATATGAACTGGCAGTTTGTAGATAATCCGCATCTAGTTCCTGGGACCTTTTTTGACTTCCGTGGGGAAACGCAGAATATTTCTCTTTGACTAGGTCAGAAAGTTTTAATAGACTTGGGAATCTTCCTTCATTTTCCCCCTAGACTCCAGCACTGGTGTGGAACGAAAAGCAATGGTTTTAGGGTCAGGAAACCCCAGTTGCTGGTACTTCCGGTGCTGAAGAATTCACCAGTTTTAAAACGGGTGTCTTTTTCCAGCTAGTGTTCAATTTAAGGCACTAAGACTGCTTTCACCAAGTTTTAACTGCAGCTGCAGATAGTATGTTAGCTTGATACTAGAGAGCTTTGCCCATATGGTTTTAGCAAACTTCTGTTAGCTTTTTATCTGAAGAGCAGTTTAAGTATGGGGAGCTTTTGTGGGGGAGAGTTTTTTTGTTTTTTGTTTTTAATAGACAAAGAGCTTTTATACATTTTCAGCCTGGTGAGATTTGAACTGACTGGTGGATCTAGCCCATCTCAGCAGCTCAGGGGGAAAGGGAATAATTATATGAGATTTAATGAAGTATTTAATGCTTTTGTGATTTGTGTGGTCAAGCTATAAAAGACAAACCAACTACGGTTAGTTGACCAAAGGACAGTCAATATGTGCTTTGCAAAGAAATGTAAAATCACTTCAAAGCTCTAAGTAGTCATAACCTTCTAGCCAAAATAGATAAACCCAAAAACTACACGCTCAGCCCCACCAAACTAGCAAACATAATATTAATTTCAAGGTAACTAGGATAAACATAAAATGAGGTGTGTGTTTATAAAAGTTTTTATAAAAGATGAGGTAGGATTATCAGGGTTTTGCCAAAGGTTGTGAAAAACAAGGCTGGCTTTCTCCAGGATACCAGCCAGCTTTCAGGTTCCCATTTAGGGAACATTAGTAGGTGTTCAGGGCAGAGCATAAGGGTAGAGCAAATAAGTTGTGTTATTCCCTAAAATGTTTCCCAGCTTCCTGCAGTTTGCAGCTCTGGATAGGGTTTCTGTGTATTCAGCAGCTCTCAGTCGATCTCACTTCCCTGAATTTGTGCGCTCTTGTGTGAGCCAGTGTAAATATTTAACATCCACAGCATCCTTTGATAAGGAATGCCATGGCTTAACTGCTTGCTGTTTCTTTATGTTTCTTTTTGAACTTTGCTCCTTCTAGTCTCATTAGATGTCTCCTAGGTCTTGGGCTGGAGAGTGAGTCAACAGCTTTTTCCAGTTTGCTTCTCCATGTCTCTCTCAATTTTAGTCTCCTATGATATCCCTTCTCAGTATCCTACTGCCTCATCGTGTATCCCTCGGTATTGCTCATCATGTGTCATCTGACCAAAGCTCTCCGGCCAAAACTCTTGACGTTAAGTAGTCATGGGATAAAATGGAAGGTCTTTGAGGGTTTAATAGTCAGTAAGAGGATGGGGAAACCAGTCATTTTTGCCTGGTTAGTGGCGGAGTCTGTGGGAATCTGTGTTCATCATACCTGTGCTGTTCAGCATGTTCGTGTTGGTAACTCATCTGGAAAATGAGGCAATGTGTGAAGTGACAAAGTTTGCTGATAATAGTGAAGGGAATAAAAATGTAAACAGATGAGGCTAAGTTACAGGAAGGGCACTGGATACCAGTTGATTGGCTGATAAAAAGGCAGATGAAATTCAGTACAGATAGATGCAAAGTAATGCATGTAAGACAAAACAACCCTTGCTTTACCTAGTCTGTTACTGCTGTGAAAAGAGCTTTTGCTATTACAGCAGAAGGTTCAGTGAGAAATTCAGCTGAGTGAAAAAGCTCAGGGTGCAGTAACAGTGCAAAAAAACAAACCAAAACAAAAAAACCCGCAATAAATTACAAAGCGTAGTTAGAAAAGGAGCAAAGAACAAAACAGGTAGGTAATTCTATGAATTCCTGGTGTACCTGCACCTTTGAATGCTTTCTGCGATTCTAGGTTTTCCGTGGAGGGCTGTTTAAGCTGTAAAGGTGCTCTGTCAGCCAGTAAAGCGTTCCCACCTTCTTACAATCCTGTTTCTTCCTGGTGCAAGTCACTGCCTGGAGGTGGGATGTTATGGTCTGTGCTCTAGTTTTGCCTTTAGATTGTATCTAATTACTGCTATTAGATAAAGATGATTCTACCTCAGTTTCTACACTTATGTTTCAGTCTCTTTAGGATGGGACCGATGTAGTGGAGTTGGCCCCACGTCTTCTAAATGAGACATTACCTTGTAGAGAGGTACATAGGCTCAATGAGTAGGGATATTCAGATGAAAAAACCCATCATATAATTGTTTATCCAGGATTATTTTCTTCACAATTTTAGCTGGTTAAGGAGAATAAAGTAGAAGGGGAGCAGGTGGTTCCATAACACAACTTTGAAAATCCATTTTCCTGGTACTCACTCCTTTGCTGGTTTTTGCTATTCCTCTTCTGGGCTGCTGAGTTGGCTGGTGCCCAGCCAAACAGCTGTAAAGTCATGGAGATCTTTGAGGCTCGCGGTAAAATCTTGGTAAATAGATGACTTCATGGGGAATAAGTATAAATGAAAGAAAATGTGGATTTAAACTTCACTTTCTATGAATCTTGACTATATTTCATGTTACATGGATTTTTGCGTATATATTGTTGAAATTGTTGAACTCTACTGGCCGGCTAAGGGCAGTCACATATCTTGCTGCTGGAGGATGTAGTTTACTCCCAGGCGGGCTGTCAGAGATTAAAGTTATTTTCCATCCAAAAGGGGAGAAGGGAGGGAAATCCTGTACATAAATCTGTAACGAAGGCTTAAAATTGTACAGTTGTGTAGTTGAATGCAAATTCAGAAGAATGAAATTGAGATTGAAATCAGAACAGAAAATCTTTTTTTCTTGTTGCCTTTAATTCTAGGTTATTGCTGTATAACGCATGGCAGACAAAATTTTGGAGGGTGTAATTACATAATTAAAACTTCTGCCTTTGTGCAAATGGACCAAAGAATGAAAGGAACCAACTTTGTTTTTTTCCTATTTCCTGAATGTTAAACTACACAGGAAAAATATCACTGCAAGCGTTTCACATTTTTATGTATCTTTGCTTCTTTTTGGTAACCTGTTTTGACGACCCCACTAGTTTTCAGGTAGTCTCTGAACTCATTTGCGTTGTCCGTTTTTTGTCGTGTTTTCTCTTTCCAGTATGTGGCCCGGTAGACAGTGTGGGCAAATGCTACTCCAAGAGATCCTTTACCTTGATGTATTTTAAGATAATCCAGCTTTCTCTGTCAGTCAGTGTATGCCTGATGGGAGAAGCAGTATTACGGGAGTTGCAGCATTTAATGCAAGGAAAACTGAAGCGTTCGCTGGGCTTTGCATGTTCCTCCAGGATGTGCAGCCTCTGATCAGATGCGAGATGGTAGTAGCAGAGAGCGTGGATTTGTCTTTTCAGTGCAAAAACATACACATGTGCGTGTATATATATATAATTTGATCCATTTTCAACTTGAAAAAAATAGTTATTTTTTGAGAGTTCTTTGCAGGATTCCAGAACAAAACTGTGGTCTGTGCTTCTCAAAGCCGTTGTCTGTAACAGCAGTTCTGCAGCGAGATTTTACCTGCTGAGCCTGATCGTGCACCCGGCTCGACAGAATCTGGTTTGCTCCCTCAGCACTGTTGTGGTTTGGTGAATAGTTATACTGGTGGCCAAGGCTACCCAATGTTTTTGTTTTAAAGCTGAATTTTCAGGTCTCTCTGGACCTTGTGTACAACCAGATCAACTTGAAAATGAGCATGGTAGTGTGTAGCCTACAACTGAGTGCAAAGTATAGATGTTTAAATCACCACATAAAGAGTTTCCAAGACATATATTCACTCCCTGCCTGTTCCTGGCATGCTTTTAAACGTGTTTTATGTAGAGGGGGAAATTATTGGGTGTTACCGACACGAAAGCCATATTGCAAGTCTGAACATACAATTTAAAATTCAGACCAGAATTTTCAAAGTGAAAACTTTGAAATTTTATTTTAGGCCAAAAAATGCCTTTTAGAAGAAAGTTTAACATCAAAGGATGTACTGAAGGAGCTGGAGGTTCTCTCTTCTCTGGAAACTTGGCCTGCAATGGTCTGTTAGAGTTACAGACCTAAATACATCAGATTGCATGGCACCAGGGGTTGGTGCCATGGAGTAATGAATACTCTGGAGACTGGGCTTGGTTTTCAGGACAAGGTTTGAATTCAGGCAGGATTCGTTTAGCCTCTGATACACTTTGTTCATCTTGGAGGATGACAGCCTTTAGGCGTCTTGAGAAATTCAGCTCTCCAGTGTAGACAAGATTGGCTATTGCTTAAGATTGATTTGCACGTTTATATTTGTTCTAAACTCAAAGTACATGAAAAGTTGCTCTGGTCTTGCCGCTGTCTCCCTGCTCAGTCCCACTCGCTCTTGCAAAACTATTCGCAGGCCAGTATTTGCTGTCTGCAAACTGGGCAGCGTTGTAAAGGTTTGCAAGGTGGTGCTAGCTTAACTCCTTACGGTATATCACATTACCTCCCTATCTTTCAGTAGATATAGTTACCTACCTAGGTATATTTTATCTCTTGCTTAGATCTACAGACACCTATTTCCATTTCCACTTAATTCTTCTGACTTGATTCTTTTCATCTCTGAGGTATCTGGAAGTGCTCGGTCCCCGTAGGGAGCCCTGTTGTTTATCAAATGAGACGTGGATCAAAAGGTGTGGATTACATTTGTGATATAGATGCTCTTGTTTGCTTTGTGGAGGTGAGATTTTGGCAGAACCTACTTTTTTTGTGTGTGTGTGCTTTTGAAACGCAGCAGTTAGGGCAGATGGGGTAATGCTTGCCCCAAACTGAGGCTCTGCTGTTTTCCTTTTCAGCTTGAGACATCTTTTTGGTCATATATGTTTGAGTCTCCCAGTCTCTGAAGTGTTTTCAGGTTCTGAGCTAAGAAAGATTTTGGGTAAAATGGTACAGGTACATGGACAGGACAAGTATGCTTGGGGAGTTGTTTTGGTTTGTTTTTCCTTGCTGAGTTCAGCAGTGTAGTAACATCAGCAGAAATTCCCTTCTGAAGTTTAGTTTTTTCGAAGTTTTAGTGGAACATGCCTGCAGAGAGGCTGCCTTTGCCGTGTGTACTTATTCGTGGGTGCTATAATTAATAGTGTATGCAAGAAAGACGAGGAATAAACAGAGCAGTGTCTAAAAGCTGGAAGAGAGAACTACCTGAATGCTATTCATTGCTCTAAACTACAAGGTTTCTGGTTTTTTTTTTTTTTTTTAACTAAAAGAGGTTTATAGGTTTATAGTCACTTTCCAGCTGAATATGAGGGTCAGACTTCATTATCATTCCTGAAATGCACATTCTTTACACACCAATCCTGTTCTCTGAAGTCAGCTTAAAGGCTTAGTTTAGCTCCTGTGGTTTCCTAGAATGAAGAAACCGTTTAACAACCAGGTTTATGATTTCATGTGACAAGCAGGAGCAAGTTAGTGGAAAACAAGCCACCTAGGCAGAACCTAAGGAGTCTGTTATTATGTAAATATGCTATTCAGTAACTGTTGCCCACTACAGAAATCTCCTTTTTTTTTTCCTTCGAGAAGTAGATGGAAAATGGTTATGAAAACATTGTGCCCAATTCATCTTTGCCCTGTGCAGCTCTGGTCTAGGGAATTTTCCAGGACAGTGGAAATCCTTGCAGTAAATCTTCAAGAAACTCTTCTCCTCTCTAGAGATATGGGTGCGGTGTTAAGAATAGATGGAGCAGAAGATGAGCGGAATGAAATCTTGCAAATCCCTGCACAGCCTCGTAGGAGAAGACATTCTGTAAGTGCAGTAAGGAAGTCTTTGCAGCTAGGAATCAGCTGACCCTCAGCCAGTCTGGGCGTAGGCAAGGCGCACTCTGTCTTTTCTTGTCCTGATTCCCATGCAGGGGTGAATCTGAAGCACTATTTTCATTTGGTGTACCTCATAAATGCTGTATGTATGTATTTATTTTCTCTCTATTTTAGTCTCTGTACAACAGGGGTTGTCCGTTTACATATCAACAACTGGCTGGAAGTGAGTTTCTGCCTGCCGCATAAAATCCATTATGTTGCAACAAGCTTCATACCCCCTGAAGCAATTGAGAGAAGTCTAAAATCTATCAGGTAAGAATGTGCTCTGTCCTTCGGAGCGGAGCCTGTCCTTGCTGCGGTTCACAGCGTGGTCCTGCAGATGATTTTGCTGGTAGAGCTGGAGGGATGCTGCAGCGCTGAGCTGTAGTGACGCTGCAGGGCATGGGCTGAGACAGGACTCCCTCAAGCTGATGCTGAGGTATCACACGGCAGTTTGAAGCCACAGCTTTTGTGTTAACATTAGGTGGTGGTATTGAAAACGGGATGTAACGCCGTGGGAGAGGTCTGCACTGTTTCCAGTCAGAAGAACTGGGTGTTCATTTTCATCTTTTGACCTAGAAGCAATTTTGCTCTTACAGGAAAGAGAGCCTTGGTCCCATTATATCTTCTTTCCTGCTCACCACATTTACAGCTTTTTATCTGCAAAAGTAACTAACTCTTACTTTCTTCCTTCCTGTTCTTCTGTTCTGTATTTAAGTGCACATGAGCAGTCTATAGTCTAGTTCTGCAGGATTTATTGTCGGTATGCCAGCACAGTGCCTTCATTTTTTTTTTTATAATCGCTGGCATGTCCAGTTATCATATAACCCTCTGTCCCCTCTAAGGGGAGCATCTTATCTTGTAGCATAAAAATGAGCTTATTCTAAACCTACTTACAGCAAAAGGATAACATTAGAGGTTCTTCTTTACCAGTAGATTGACCAGGCATTGTGATCTGGGAGTAACTAAGCCTTCAGGAAAAACTGCAGTTTACAGCACAAATGTATTCCTTTTTTCTGCAGGCCTTACCATGCCTTATTACTTCTAAATGATGAGAAATCATTGCTTAATGAGCTCCCGTTGGACTGCTCCCCTGCCCTGGTGAGAGTAATTAAAACTACCTCTGCTGTGAAGAATTTGCAGCAACTGGCTCAGGATGCTGACTTGGCATTGCTGCAGGTATGGGGAATTGTCAGCAGTGGCTGAAATTCTTTTAATTCACGAGGCATTTTCTTTCTCCGTGCCGGTGGGTTTTTGTGGTACATGAAAATATGTCAGTGTGAGCGGAGTGCACAGAGAAAGCCTGAACCGGAGAGCACCAGAGCACGGGGGAAAGTTTGAGAGACAAAGATCAGTGCTGGTGACAGTGCTGGACAGTCAACTGCAGCCATGTCAGAATCACTAAATCACAGATAGCTGTAGGATAGAAGGGGCATCTGGAGGTCTCTAGTCCAAGCTACTGCCCTAAGCAAGTCCATTAGATGAGGTTGTCCACTGGAATTCTGAATGCCTCCGGGGATGGAGATCTCACAACTTCCTTTGGCCCTGGTCCAAGCATGTGACCCCCGTCGGGGTGAAAAACTTTTCCTCATATCTAGTGGGAATTTCCCATGTTCCACCTTGTATCTACTGCCTTTTATCCTGTCCTTGTGCACCTCTGAGAAGAGTGGCTCTATTTCCTCTATGCCTTCCCAGTAGGTGGTTAGAACCAGAACAGAAAACCAGAACAAATGGTACTCTTGACTTATACCACAGTGGTCTGTCTTTATTCTGCTGCACTGATGTCTACTTTGTAAATGGAGGCATACAGAGCACACGTGAAAGTTTACAGCTGCCATGGCCAAATCCTGCTGCTTTCCTTGGATTTGCTTGGGCGAGATGCAGCATTGCAGTTCTCACGACCTTCTGCAGAAGGCTGACTAAGCTACAGCTTGTAACCAGCAAGCCGTTGTAAAGATGTGTAAGGTGACAGTATGTGTTGTGCAAGATACTGTACAAGGAAAAGGAGCTTGGAAGTGGCGAAGCTTGAAGGAGGTGACTGGATGGCCTGGGAACAAGATAGACAAGAAAAGAATTGCCTTGGTAACAGGTCTGCATTTGTCCATGGCTGCTGAAGAATCAGCTTTATCTACCAAAAAGCTTTGAAAATCAGTGCAGACTTCCTATCAGTTTCCCTTTTTTAAAATACCTTAATGCATGTCTTTCATATGGTCCCAAGGAGGAAGCTCCGGGTAGACTTGGGCAAAACTCTTGAGCCGGTGTCTCCAAACCAGCAGCTCTTTCTGGATGCCTTTCCAGTGTTGACAGCAGGTTCTTAAATCTGAGTTGCTCAGGGTGATGTGACAAGCCGGTGATAAGGGAGATTTGTACAGTGGAGGGACTGTACCACCGGCAATCACATGAGACGCTAGGCCACCGAGAAACCATTGCAAACAAATGCAGTCATCGCGGCCTGTTTGTTGTTGGACCTGGTGATTGAGTTGGATGGTATTGTTGCGGGTAGAGCTATTCAGTACTTCTAAGAAGTTGATCCATACCAGGGGACGCATTCTGTGCTCTGTATGAAGAGGGAGAAGAGCACTGGTTGTCATCTCAGATGGCCCTGATCATGTATCCAGGCCTCCTCTTTCTCAGAGGGAAAGGTCCTGTTCTGTAATAAAATTTCCATACCTGCTTGCAGCAAGCTGTGGTGTTATTTGCCATTATATAGCTATGAGATGAACTCTGGAAATTCCCTACTGCTTCTGTAGTTTTGTTCTCCTCCAAAAAGCAAAGTTAAATGCATCTAATGATATGGGTTGGATTTTATGTCTCCTAGACGCTATTTATGTGGCTCTTCCAGAGCTATTAACAACTACTGACTTGTTTAACATATTAAAATACTTCTTGTAACTCATTATTGGAATACCTCAACGTGTTAAAAAGACAGTCTTGGTTTCCTTTATGCTTATGTCATAGGAGAGGCTTGTTTTTTTGTTTTATTTTTCATGTATAACGCTTAATGCATTTTATGCATAAAAAAATGGGTTGTTGTCGCATGAAAGATAACTAAACTTCTGTTGATACAGTTTGAAGAAATTCCTTTGAAGCAGGAAATACTAAGTTGCTTAGAAATGTGAAGCAAATCTCTGGAAATTCATAACCTTGTCAAACGCTTTTTTGATGTGCCACATGTTATATTATACCCTGAATTTCTTCTGAAGGCAAAATGAAAGGATGGAACATTATTCTCTTCTGAGCTCAAAGAGGGCTTTGCTGTCACTGTGTGGAACTGTTGCTGAGAGTCTGAGGTGTGCTTTTTTGCTCTCCTGATTTTGTTTTGTTTTCTCAATGTAGGTTTTCCAGCTTGCTGCACATCTTGTTTACTGGGGAAAAGCAATTATTATTTATCCACTGTGTGAAAACAATGTCTACATGCTTTCTCCAAATGCCAGCGTGTGTCTGTAAGTAGAAGGACAATGAGTGCTTGCAGTAAGCAAGCTGTGAGAAGCGCAGATATTCCTTCCTTCCCCGTCTTACTGGACACAGGGTGTCCATTTTTCTTCACGTATGAATTTGCTGAGATTGTACAAAACACAAACCATTGCATGTGCTGGAACTTGCAAAGCCACATAAGAGTTTGTCTGGGGTAGGGAGGAGCGTGAAAGTAGATCAGTATGCTTCTGCAGTGATGTGGGCCCTGGAAACAATATTTACCTTGGGGACCTATTTTTAGTATTTTTAATACGCTGGGTCACTGAATGTCCATGTCAGGAAAGATTGTGTGAACCTGAAGCAATATGGAAACGCAAAGTAAAATACTTCAGAATTAAGTTAAATCAATGAGTGTTTCATAGGACTATCTGTGTATCTGGCACACGGTATCAACTGAAATGAATAAAGAGCAGCAAGTCAAGGGGCTGTTACCATCACTATTTTATTGGTGCCCGTGATAGATAGCATTTTATACTTATGTGCCTTATAGTACACAGAAGGTAAGGCAACCAATGTGAGAGAAGATGCAAGGAAGATGTGGAGGCAGTGGTGGGTATTGCTGCTCCACTGAACGTCTGAAACCTTTCTGTACTAGATTTTGAGATGCTTTTAGAATCTGTGTTGGAACTAGATCATAGGAAAATAGTTTTAGGTCAAAACTCCTGAGATGGAACTATAAAAATAGGGCTAGAAGGGACCTTGAGGTCACTTAGGAACATCTGTGCCAGTGTTGTATATGGCAGTGGTTTATTTAGCTGTTCTTGATGGAAATCCTAAGACAGAAAGTTTTCCTGATGTTTCACTCGACTCTTCCTTGCTTCTAATCAGTCATTGCGCGTGTTCTTTTCAGCATAGGCAAGGAGAACAGTCATGTCTGAAGCTGCATTTTGCTTATTTGAAGACTGTGTGTATATCCTGTCCATCCCCAATGCTATCTTCTCTAGACTGCCTGTCCCCAGTTCCTTTGATCAAAGACTGCTCAGTTCTAGACTTTTAATCATTTTTATCGTTCTCCACTGGATTCCCTTCCCACCTTGAATAATGTATTGGAGCTGAATGTAATGTCAAGATGAAAGTAGGTCTGCTTTTTGGTTACTTTTGCAGGACACAAAATGCCTTAAACTATACTCTTTTTCTGAATCAGAGAGAATATTTCCTTTGGGAATTAGCACTTCTATAATGCGTAAATAAATGAACGGTACACTGACCAGCAGTATAAAACTGATTTCAGCCTTTGCCTCTTTTCTGTAGTTACTCTCCATTGGCGGATGCGTTCTCTTGTCAGTTCCGGGGCCACAATCTGCCATCGATGCTTTCCAAGTTCTCCCTCCCAGTTTCACTCTCGGAGTTCAAGAATCCTCTAGCACCACCAGTTCAGGAGGTGAGATGAGGGGAGCGAACAAGAGCTGAGCGTGTGTGATTGCCCTGCTAATGTGAACAAGGAATGGGGTTGCTTCTGGAGCATCTAGTTAGGAACCTACTCTTGTAGGTTTAGAAGCGGGCCAATTACTGTGTTTCCAACTGTATGATTTGTTGTTTAACGTCCAGGTGCCAAAAAGCAGTGGGGTTATCAAGATGAGACTACGTAAATGATCTGTGCTGAAAAAAGCATGTTCCTAAATGAAAACTCAGGATCTTTTTTTTCCCTGAGCAATGTTGTAGGGAA